TACCGGACTGAGAGAGAGAGAGAGAGTTCTTCTTCTTCCTCTTCTAAGTCCACCATCTCTCCCTCACCCTCTCGCTACCTAACTTCTCAGTATCTGCAGACTACGAGAGAGAGAGAGAGATTGGTGGCTTTGGGACTTGACGACATTTGGATCCAGACTCCACATTCGGATTGAGACATTGGACGAGGGATTATTTGGGACCTGTACCGAAGAGTTGGTGTTGACGACATTCCCATCTTCCTATCTTCTTTGTCTAACCCCCCTCTTCTTCGTCTGTGTATGGTTGGGGACTGGCGCATTCTTCCTGTGTGAGCGCCATGCCCCTTCACACCATGGAATGATGATGATGTATGTTTGGTCTGCATTGCAACATTGATTGTTCGGATCATTGGTATATTAGCCTTCCACTGCGCTATCTTACTATGTGAGAGAGGTCGGTTCTTGTTCTGGTCTGTACCGTTACGGTATGCGACACACACACAGATGGGACGCGCACGTTGCATGGTCGATGCGCTTGCTTTTTGCGCCTTGCCTTGCCCACACGCTCGGTGCTTGCTTTCTTTTTCGTGTGGCCCTGGCTTCTCGCGCCCTGCCCCGTTGCCGCTTTCCCCGCAATGCGCACGCGTGGCGTTTCGCGCCTGCCCGGCCTCATCGGCCTGCTCGACCGCTCCCCTTCCCGGGCCCTGGGCCCATTTCGAGTTTGCCAGCGAGCACGCCCGAAAATGGCCTCGGCTTTCCCAACAGTGGAAATAGAGGCTCGCGCGGGGCACTCACGCGAGACCCTTTATTTCCTAAAACAAACAAAGAAAAATAGAAAAAGAACTAACTCCAACGACTACGCGCCTGGCGCTTAGCTAAGCCAGGTTTGTGCTGCTGAACTCAACAGCAATTCCCTCATTTCCGTCTGCTCACTTCTGCCTGCCAGCTGGTGGGCCAGTTCAAGGTTTGCTTTAGTTTTTTTTTTTCCCCTCCTTCTTTTGTCCCGTTGGCTTTTAGCCGACGGTTACGTCGCAGAACACATCTGCAAACTGTTGAAATACAGACCCGAGTTCAAATCGATATCGATCCGAAAAAAAAAAAAAAAAAAAAGTCTATTTTCTCGATTTATGCGTGTCATCCTTGCGCAGGGGCTATGCAGATCTCCGCGCGGCTGATTTCAGCCGTGCGATCTTGAGGGTCGTGTTGCCGAGATCGGCCGCACCCATCCGTGCAAGCCTATGGGCTGCTCCAAAAGGAGCTAGCCCGGTGGGCGGGTGCGGTTCGATCCCAGTGTCTGCTGGGTGAAAATTAGTGTCTGTACCTAATGGGCTAGCTCCTATTATGGAGGTCATAGGAGCGGATCTTCTATAAGAAGACCCCCAGCCCAGCTGCCTCCCGACCGTGGCCCAGCGGCCTTGCCTGCCCTAGCCATTCCTTAGGCTGGCCGCCTGTCTCGAACGGTCGGGCACTCAGTCCTGCGGTTAGTCGCCCAACCCCCGCTGTTTCCGCAGTCGGCTCGTGCCCGGCCTCAACGAAATACAAAGGCCGCACGTGGCCCCTTCCCCTTGATTAGCTGGATCGCGGCCTCGACGGGGTTGCACCTTTGCGGCTCAACTTCAACTCGCATGATCCAAGCCTTACGATAGCCTCACACCCTCGTGCGGCGATCCTTGTTTGCCCCTTGGGTTCTGAATCGCACGGCTACGTCCACATGCGTCGTGGCCCTGTCGGAAGTGGAACATAATGGGTTACATCGCCAGTAACATCAAAGACTTTTCATCTCCCTGAATGTCTCAAGTATCCTCAGTCACAGGTTTAATCAGGATAGCTTTCGCAGACGCATGTCTCATCAAGCCCCTCAATCCAAAGAAATGGTCGGACTGTGTCCTACATTGAAAATCCCGGGCAGACACCTTTATAAGGGTTTCTGCTCTGACAACGGCTTCCATGCACCTTTTTGTATGACTGGGTGAGGATTTGTGGCCTGATCTGGCATGCAGTACCTTTCAGCAAGGTCCCGTGCCGATTCAATATGTCATGTTTTCTTCTTCTTTGTTTTCTCTTTTTTCGTCTTCTTCCCTCTTCCTTCTTTCATTTCCTTCTTCTGCTTCATCTTCCTCTCCTTTTTGGAAAAAGGGCCTACGAATAGGGTCCCTTGGGAAGCATCAGTTTGATTGTTTGCACAGGCAAGTCACAGAGGACAATAACTAAACACAGATGCTTTCCTTGTTGTGGCTGGTGAACCAAGCCGCCACCGTTTTTCTCGGGAAGTGATGTTGCCTTCTGCTTGATCAGCAATGTGTCCATCGGACAAGGCTAGCGTGAACTTTTCTACTCGGGATCTGTAAATTGACCAGTCTGTCAGCCAGTCAGTCAACCATTGAATTTATCAGATTGAATCAATCAATCAATCAATCAATCAATCGAATTGAATTGAATTGAATCACGTAATCAATGCACAAAATCAATGAATCGTGCAATCCATTGATTATTCCATCAATGAATTAATTCAGCGACTGGTGAATCACTTTGATCAATCTGCCCCTCTTTCTTTTCCTTCACAATACAAAGTGGGGAGGGTGAGGGATGTGGACTGCCTTGGCGCATTGCAACGTGTTTTGAATGTCAGAGGCAGTTGGAAGGGGTCAAGGGGGGTGAGAATAGCCTTGGCGTGGGAGGGTGAGGGATGATGACTGCCTTGGGGCATTGCAACATGATTTGAATGTCAGAGGCCATGGGAAGGTGTCAAAGGGGGTCAAAATATCCTTGGCGTGTGGAAGGGAGGACAAGCAAGAGCGTTGAGGAGCCAGAAGATTCTTGCTTCATCCTGGATATGCAAGGGCTATGTTGGGAAGGGAGGGGGGGAAGGGAATGCGTGATGTTGGGGAAAAAGAGAAGAGGTCATGATGCTAGGGTATAGTTTACGTACAAGTCTGAAACAAAGCTTCAAGCAGGAGGTCCAGGTGGGAGGTGATGTATGGAGGCGGGGCACAAGCATTGCGAAGAGAGGGGGAGGAAGGGGGGGGGGGGGTTGAGGTAGTTGCGCAATGTGTTGTGTGCACAAGTGAGAGGAGAGGTCTTTTGCAGGCGTCCCGAAGAGGCATGGAAAGAAAGTCTTGAAGGGGTTCGCAATATGCTGTGCACAGACTTACCGGGATTAGGGAACAGGGGCTCAGACGGTGCTTTATGCTCAAGGGGGCAGCAGGGAGGGTTAAGGTTGGACGTTGGATGCCTTACACCCAGGAATGGCACGAGGGGAAGTGTGGGGAAGAGGATACCGGCGAGAAGAATTGCAAGGTGCTTCATGGAGAGAAAGGAAGAACGTCGAGGGGGATGGCAAGAAATTTGAAGTCGAGGGAGGAAAGGTGAGGGAAGCAAGATGACAATAAGTGAAGTGTTGATGGGGATGGAAGAAGGGCAAGAGGGAGTGTTGAGGAGAGTCCCATGTGTTACACAAACGACGCACCATGCTTTGTTCGCACTGGGGGGAATGGGGGATTGTTGTGGTGGACTGCAAGGTGCTTTACACTGAAGTGAGAGACAAGGGGAGTGTTTGGATGCGATCGGGGGGAGTGTTAAGGAGGAGATGTTGAGGGGCAAAGCTTTGCACACACGTAGGGAAGGGGAATTGTCCCAGGGGATCCCAATGTGCCATCCTGGCAACAGAGGCAGGGCAGGGAGGTCAAGTGCACATGGTATAAGGGGGGAAAGAGAGAGGCAGCGAAGGAAGGTCGAGCGCACACTGTGGGGAATGGGGGAATTGTTGAGGTGGATTGCAAGATGCTTTACACTCAAGTTGGAGACAGGGGAGTGTCGAGGAGGGTTGCAAGCTGCTTTGGAAGCTCACGATGTCAGGGGGTAGTGCATTGCAAGAGGCTTTGCACACAAGTAGGGAACGGGAAGTATCGTCGGGGGGGGATCCCAATGTGGCATCCTGCCGGGGAGAGAGAGAGACAGAGAGAGAGAGACACACAGGGGGGGAGAGAGAGAGAGAGAGAGAGAGAGAGAGAGAGAGAGAGAGAGAGAGAGAGAGAGAGAGAGAGAGAGAGAGAGAGAGAGAGAGNAGAGAGAGAGAGAGAGAGAGAGAGAGAGAGAGAGAGAGAGAGAGAGAGAGAGAGAGAGAGTTATCAGATAAATTAAGAATACTAAAATGGTGGCAGTGTGACCTCACTGGGTGTCTTGCAGTCAACTCCATCACGGGTGGTATCTGGAATGTGGCGGAGGGTATGACTGGAGCATGGCGCGCAAATGCAGCCCTGTGCAGATTTGTCAGCAGCAATTTTGAGGAACCATGGTGAAGATGCATAGAATAATGATTTCCACAGCTTAGCTACATATCTTGAAAACAAGACCTCAGCAGTGGTTCCTGGATCTTAAGATGTGATTTGTGTTTCCTTCACTCTGATTGACACCAGATGGAATGGTTGTTGATTCCTGCCCCCATTCTCATATATATGCAGTGCACAGCCGATGGAGGCATACTTCGACAAGTCAAAGAAACTCCAGGACATGCCACCACCTCCAAATAACATTCAAGGTATTCATCCTAAGACCAGAGTCCCAAGGGAAGGATTTGAAGTCCATGATAAGCCTCTGTGGACTCGAGCACGTATCTGCTGGTGTGTAATCGATTGAAATGTCATGCACGTTCATTGTTTCTAAACATGGCTCCAGCAGCTTTTAGTTCCAGCTGTAGGCCTTCAGTATCAAAGGTCTGCTCTTCCAGAAAGTGATTGGAAGCTTTGTGTGTGTGTGTGTGTGTGTGTGTGTGTGTGTGTGTGTGTGTGTGTGTGTGTGTGCATGGATGTGTTCCTCGTACCTCATAGCACTCATGCTAAGAAATCCCACAGCAAGCTGCGGTACGCCCATTCAAACCACAGATGTTTGGAACTCATCAGGTCTTCCAGAGATCTCAGGCAACTACTTTTTTTATTGGTCTGCATCTGTCAGGTCCTGCTGCCTTCTGATCTCTTTCCCAACATTTTCAAATGAATCATACATTCAATTCACAAAAGGAAACATACCATTCCCGTTACCTCACTGATTGTGGACTTTGTCACATTGTTCTCCATCTTGGTAGTATGCATCATTTCGGGACTCGTGTCAGTTGTTAAGCCAGCTGGCCATGCGAAAGAACAGCATGTAACCATCTAGTGACCGCACCAAACTGATCATCCGTATGTATATGCTAAGACAGTTATTCCTACCCGCTGTAGTTTTCCTGCAGCCTGCATATGCTTGAGCAAGTATCTGGCTGTGTTCAACCTATTGATCTCTTCGCTTAAGGGTAGATTGGTCCTCGTCAGTCCTCTATATTCCTCAATATTTCCTTCACATTCCTCCTGAGAGAACTTACCAACCTGTTTGTTTGTTGTATGACCGCCTGGTGCCTGTGAATTGATCCGCAAAAGCGGATCAAGATCCAAGTCGCCACAGCAACATCCACACAAAACAAGCACACACAGAACTTAATTGCAACTTGAAATGATGTCCACAGGCTCTCAAGATAGCGGCTATGGCCGCCAGTAACAACAGCGGAAGGTAAGTTTCTCTCTCTGTTCTCGCTCTCTCCCTTCCACTACTACTAAGTAGGAGCCCAGGTTCTGCGATCACTCTCTGAATGTCATAGCTGCCCTCTCTCTCTCTCTCTCTCTCTCTCTCTCTCTCTCTCTCTCTCTCTCTCTCTCTCTCTCTCTCTCTCTCTCTCTCTCTCTCTCTGTGCAAGCTCTTACACAAGGTCACAGACAGCTATGGCAACTACTTCCCGCTCTCGCCCGACACTGTTCACTTCAGGGTCTTGTCGCCCAGCAACAGCAATGTAGCAGCGGTTCTAGAAATGTCTGATCGAAGTAGAGGCATTGCCTGGCCTCCCTTTTGTGCCTATGCCTCTGCCTCACACGTGGTTCCGGACTCTTCCTGCCAGTCCTTGCTGCAGCAGACAAAGATTTGGTCTGTCGTGGCCTTTCCCTGGGACTGAGCTGCAATGGGACTGGAACTGGGCAAGTTGCGACTCCCGAACTATCGACTTCTAGGACCCTCTGCTGTTCCTACCGGTCCCGTACCTACCAGAAAGTCCTACCTCGGCCCTAAAAGAAAATGGGACACGGTGTCGGGCAGCGGAAGTCGGTCAGCCACCCGAAACGAGAGGATTTGGAGTCGGTGTCGAGCAGGTAGGCATGTTTTTGTGGTTTCTCTTGTCTGACGGGCCACAGAAAAATAGGGCGTCTGGGTCAACCCCTCTACCTTGGCCCTAAGGTATGAAAGAAAATGGGACACGGTGTCGGGCAACCAGGTCAGTCGGCCACCCGAAACGAGAGGATTCGTAGTCGGTGTCGGGCAGCTAGGCACTTTTTTGTGGTTTCTCTTTGTCTGACAGGAGGCCGAAAAAGGTCAACCCCTGTTTTTCACCTGTCCGTTGCTTACACCAGCCCTACTATTATGTTTCCGGTTATATTATTTTATGATTTTTATCCTAATTTTTGACACCCCTCTTATGGGCTTATTTTACCCCTCTTTTCATTCCCTCTGGCACTTGGTCGTGGACGTGCGCGCGGGCCTCAGCGCAGGCCATTTTTTACGACCGAGTTGATGACGGAATTTATTTAATTATTTTGACGACAGTTACAGACAGTATGAAAAATCGGTAGTAGATTAAAGAATGATAAAAAGCAACCTATGTTCGTCTGCAGGTGATGACCTTCCAGCTCCCGCATCAACCATCAAAGACAGTAGTCACCCCTTTATAAAATACTTGATCTCGCGCGTGAGTTTCAGGATGGAGGCCTGGGTCATGAGACAAGGCTTGTCTTTATTGATCGACGCATCGGTTCGGCATCTCGTTTTGCATGACTCTTGGTGGACTTGGTTACCTGGTCTCAATATGACACTCCACAGTTATGGTTTCAATACCGACCTGGTTATTTCTGACCTCAAAGATCTCGATCTGGTTCAGCTTCAGATTCTTGGTATGGATGCAGGTTGGGGGCAACTGTTGTTTGGTGCTCTGAGACCAAATGACCACAACTATGGTTTCAATACCGACCTGGCTATTTC